TATTAAGATCACGATGACTCTCCTACCAGGACACTGTTTGGCGATGCACTCCCTGAATTCCGAGGCGGGTCCTGGGCAGGGCCGTCCCTTGCCCTGTATGGGAGGATCCCCGCAGATCCTACTGCGCACCTGTACCCCCTCTCCACACGTCTTAGTGCATGGTCCGTACTCCGACCACGACGTCCAGCCGCCGTCCACTAGGGAAAGGTCAACACCAATATTAACAATGGAGAACTTTAAGTTTGAAAAAATCTTTTTTGTTATGATTTACGTCAACATCTTATTGAATTCATGTTCATGTAAGCAAACATCGTTTTCTGAATTAGAGCAGAGGCATATTATATTAAAATAAAATAAAATAAAATAATATTATATTATATTATATTATATTATATTATATTATATTATATTATATTATATTATATTATATTATATTATATTATGACTTGTTCACAAATATCAGCAGCTGTTCAGACAAAATTGGACCCAATGACACCTTATATTGTGGTATACGTAACAACATTGCTCTATATCACCTGAACACCCATCCACCCTCCTTGAAACCCTTTACCTACCTAGACACACCCTCTTTTACCTGGACACCCGCCCACCTACCTGGACACCCCTCTCTTTCCTTACTGGACACCCCTCTCACCTACCTGGACACCCGCCCACCCACCTGGACACTTCCCTCACCTACCTGGACAAGGTTCGTGACTGCACGACTGCACGGCAATGTTGGGCTCACAGGTGCTGCAGCAGTTGTCCCGCATCCGGACTCTGACCCCGCCCCCACATCTGACGTCACACGCCGACCAGGAACCCCACTGACACGCTGAAACAATACGCCGCACTATGTCAGATACTTTAGCAGTATATTATTTAAAGTGAAAACCTTTAAAGTGAAAACGTTTAAATTGAAAACTTGCGCTTCAATATTCATTTAATGTTTGAGTCCTAGACAGGGAGGTCAGGTGATACATCATTTTCTGTATATGATACCACTCCTTGATCACAATTTAGTTGCATTTATATATATCAAAGTGTATTTCTTTTTCACCTCAGAGATTGTTAGTGAAACTTTCAAGTAACGTTTTTCAAACGCCTAATTGACGCAATCTTAATATGATAAACTATTTTCATGGTATTGGGAAACATGGTAGAATCTGGAATTGAAATTCTGGTTGAACTCACTGAGAATCACTTGCTTAAAAAGTGACACATTAATTTACATTTAATTTAATTTGATTCAAACAAGAGAAGACAAATGAGAAAAAATTATGACTTTATTACCTGGAAGTGTGGAGTCTTGCCATGGTGGTGTACTTGTGGTTGGTGTGGTAGATGTAGTTTGTGTTGTAGTAGTTGAAGTAGTCGTCGGTGTAGTAGTTGTCGGTGTAGTCATAGTCGTCGATGTAGTCGTAGTCGTCGGTGTAGTAGTTGTAGTTGTTGGTGTAGGCGTAGTCGTTGGTGTTGTCGTAGTCATCGGTGTAGTAGTTGTCGGTGTAGTCGTAGTAGTCGGTGTTGTAGTAGTCGGTGTTGTAGTTGTCGGTGTAGTAGTAGTTGTCGGTGTTGTCGTAGTTGTCGGTGTTGAAGTTGTTACTGTAGTCGTAGTTGTCGGTGTTGTAGTTGTCGGTGTAGTCGTAGTTGTTGGTGTAGTCGTAGTTGTCGGTGTAGTAGTAGTTGTCGGTGTAGTCGTAGTTGTTGGTGTAGTAGTTGTCGGTGTCGTAGTCGTTGTTGGTGTAGTAGTTGTCGAGGTAGTTGTGGTGGTTTTTGGATCGGTCCGCATTATCAGAGATTCTGTCAAAACAGAAAGGAGAAATAAGTTAAAGGCAATTACAACACGTGACGAAAATCATAAATGTTAAATAATAACTCACACTGTTTTCCATACACGTTAACAATGAAATGTACACGGCGACGTCGACGTCAGCCGAAGATGCTCGCTATAATATACAGTTACAGAGTCTGTACAAAAATGGTAAAAGGTAAATACCTTTTAGAAAGATAAACGCATTTTTCGACCTTTGAGGAAATTCAGAGACGATTTTATACCATCATTACATATAAGACAATGAAGAACCTATTTATCAGTATCCCCTACCCCCGCCTATTGCCCAGCACGCTATCCCTCCTTCCGCTCTACTTCCCACTGCCCTCACCTTTCTTCCCGCACTTTGCCCACTACCTACCCCGACCACCTATTGCCCAGTACTTCCCTGTCACTGCCTAGTACCACCTCCCCTCTGCCACTGCCCAATATCATACCCCTCGCCTCTGCCCAACACGTCCCCGCCACTTCCCAGTACCCTACTCCCAAGACCTACTGCCTAGATCCACCCCCCACCCCCCGCCGCCACGTCAATACCCAGTAACCTACCGTTACAAAAACGGAGACCGATATCCTCCACCAGATCTGTCAATCTCTCCACCAGCTGGGCGTGGAATATGTTGCTGCTCCGCCCCTGTGCAATGACCAACAGTTCCGTGTAATTGACACCAGGCCCCGCCCCCACCGCCAGCGTGACCACGCCCTCCGCTTTCAGGTTGTCTGCTGCTTCTTTGAGTGTCAAATTGCCTTGATAAAAAACAGATGTTTTATGAACGATCCAGTTTAGGTGACATCTAAATCATATTTGTATAGTTTCTTATAGATACTAAAAACAAGATTAGACGATCTTAATACTTCCAAATCCCTAAGAATGTCAACGCATAACGCTCAATCTTTTTCAATGGCCAAATATTAAAACTGAACAGTACCGCAACACTTTGTTCCATTTTCCTTAACTAGCTTTTAGGTGCCTGTCTTTATTTTAATCTTATTATTTTCTTTTAAATTGTTATTTGAATTTACATATTTGTTCCAAATTAACCTTTTGGATGCTGTGACATAAAATAAACTTATTATTATTATTATTATTATTATTATTATTATTATTATTATTATCATATACTGTTAGAGCTTGACGCCCAAAACACCTGGAACGTCCCCGAGCATTCATTACCTGCGTTCGCCATTCCGTCAGTTAACACCATGGTAATAGCGAACGCCTTGTCCCCCTTGTACAGCCTGCTGCCGGGAGATTGGCGCAGTAGACGCCGGCACTGCTCCATGGCGTCCGGAATGTTGGTTCTACCTCTCAGGTACGGGATTGTGCCAATTCTAAAATAGAAATAACCTTGGATGAATCTTTAACTGAAGAACAAACATGGCTTAAGTTTTGTTTTACAGCATTTCTTCACTAGAATATAAAATTCTAAAAAAAAACGTGCCAATAGAGAACTTTTAATCTGTTTGAAATGTACACGAAGCACGATTTAAAAATACGTTCACAATTTCCTGGAAATATTTCAAATATATAAAGCATAATTTTTCTATATAATAAACACACATTTATCATATACACTGTTCTGTGAAAAAAATAAGATACAAGATGTATAGTACTAGTACTGACTAGGTTGCTCCTCCACTTATCTTGTGTGAGCTTTTATATAGTACATCACGTTTACTTCACAGACAGCAAGTGGTGTGTGTCTGGCACCACATTATGTCATATGACAGCGTGAAAACCTAAATAAGTTACGCAACCATGGCCATAAACAGTTCATTTTGAGCGTTTTATGGCTCTTTTTTTTAGTGAAATACTAATACTTTTTCTCGTCATTGGAACCCTGAGTCATATGTCAGCTGAGTCACTGTATTATTTCACACACACTATAACGGCAGGGGTGGATCCAGGATTATATGAAGGGGGGTCCGCAGATGCGAAGCCGACCCTCCCCCCTTCCTCCTTGGCGTGGGGCCCGGGGTCTGCTAAAGGGCCCCGAAAATGTTTGGTATGTTAGAGAACGAAAGGTACCATTGGCTACTGTTTAGAAGTATGATTCAGCTAGTCAAAATTCTAATTTCAACAGGGGACCATTGTTGTGATTCTTTTTCAGAAATCGAAGGTGGGGGGGTCAGGACCCCCCTGGCCCCCTCTTAATCCGCCACTGATCGGTATAGACATTGATTACTTCCGTTTTATCTTGCGGCAACCTCAGGGAGTAACTTACTTATACCACACCTCCCCATCAGTCTGAGTGGGACTGAAGTCCAGATGGACGCTTACGTCTGTTGAGAAGACCACAATGGCGTAGTTAGAGATCACCTTCTCCGGCATCTGACGGATGTATCCGACCACGTTGTTCAGGAAATGAATCTCATCTTTGTACCCTGACTCCGTCAGACTCTCTGAGGAATCCACGGCCATACACATGTCTATGTAACACCCTGGGGAAGAAGAGTTCATAATGGTTATAGAATATGTAACGCCCTGGGGACGAAGAGTTTATATTAGTAATAGAATACCGGTACTATCAAAATTACGTTTATCAACATTTCTTAAAAATGAGTTTAAATAAATTACATAAAATTCAGCCAGTGAGTTTGTTCGTAAAAAAAGGCTGGGATTAAAGCCAATTTTTATAACTTTTAAACTTTCGGAAAAATCGCAACCTCTCTTTCTCTCTCTCTCTCTCTCTCTCTCTCTCTCTCTCTCATACACACACGCGTGCACACACACACACACACACACACACACACACACACACACCAGTGCAAAAATGGAGTAGACATTTCTGCCCCCGTCGGACGTTTTGACACTTGGTTGCACTTGTTCTGTGAGCTACAAGTTGAATCACTACAAAATCTCACCTGTGGACATAATCCCAGTGGTCCCTGCAGGAAGACCGCACACATGTGGGAGGAAAACGAAAGTGAAAGCGATCCATGAAACCCACCACGCCATTCTCCTGAAGGAAAAAAACATATCACACCTTTTGTGTGCAAAATAATTTTTCAAAAATAAAAAAGGAAAAACAGTTAACCAATCCCAATTTTAACTGAACAGTTCCCTACAGATCATCACCCCCTTTCGACCCCCTCCAAGCACCCCACGCTTACCCTTCTCCAGCACAGCACGTCAACCCCACCCCACCCCCACCCCCTACCACCAGCGTGTCATCTCCACATATGTACAGCTGTTTAACTTGACCCCAAGAGACTCACTCTGACACTAGCTCGTGTTAAACTAGGTGTAAATCAGCGACATATACGGAAAATCTACATCTACTTATCCGGTACCTGAACCCTTAGCACTACATGACAGCGGATCTTTCTCAGACGCAGAACGTTATTCTCGCGTAAATAAGATCACTAATATTAGCAAGGTAAATATACAGTTGAGTGACCTCGACCTTTGTGTCCTTGCACATATTAAAGTACACACGGGGCCTTTTGACAGGAAAGTGAACCTTTGAGTCATGACAGTGACGCACACATTTTGAGTAATATTTGCATAGATTTGACATGCCCCAATATTTTCTGTTTTATACAATGGTGCACTCCAATATGACAGAAATCAACAATGGTTTAAAATTGATTTTAAACACTTACGCAAATATTACACAAAATGTGAGCCTCTCTGACGTGACCAAAATGTTAACTTTTTCAATGGAATCGGCGTTATATTAAACACCAGACGATACCGGTATGTAGGACCTAAAGGATATATATAGCGTCCAATATAACTATTGGGACTCCATTTGAATTTAGAACTTCTGAAGCACCAGTTTCAATTGGAAAATTGTATATATCCACAATGTAGAGGAGAAACTGGTTAAATATTTTGACCACGGTAAAGTATTCAGTTCAGTTCCACCATTACTTAAGTTGTACACTAACTGTGACAGTTCCCTGCCGCGAGGTGTCGCCACTGTCGTCTCCTGTAGTTTTAACATATAAAAACGGTCCATATAACGAACAGAAGACAAAATGGTAAATGTCGTGGAGTCAGTTCTTATTGTGCTGTATTTTCCACTAAAGTCCTGTGTAAGTTTACCATTTACTTAGCTTCAAAAGTAATTCTGTGGCCAATGTCTTGAAACTGGATTCCAATCCTGTTTTGACGCAGAATCATCTCTTTTTAAATTACGCTCTAGTTCACGGTCACTATCATCCCCAGTATCTGGATTGTCAACTGCGAGCGTTTAGTGCACGACAGTTCTCAGAATATCCGCGTGACAACGCAAGCACGGGACAACGAAACAATGCACAACATCTTGGACAACGAGGCACAATTAAAGGATACATCAAAAGGAACGGCTGGTCAAACCTTAGTACTTTGAGATCCTCCTTGGAACAGCCTTGTAACTCAAAACCAACAGAAGCAAAGTTTTGCAAAATTTACCCATTAAAAGTTGGGAATTTATTCAACACAACAGACGCTTTTTAAATGTGTCTTAAAACTGCGTTCGTCCCAGACGGGTGGATTATAATATCAGGTTTAATATACAGCGAGCAAACAGAAAACAGGTGCAAAATATTAAAGAAATGATTAAATGACATTTTGCCAAGGCTGGTTAAACTTGCACACATTAAGGGAATGAACCGTGCAGTTTTATGCCCCTTGAAGTACTTGTGTATGCAAATTATTTCAACATTTTCAAAACGGCGACTAAATTCACCACAAAACCTCTGTTCACCTAAGTGGAAGAACGCATGTCTCTCTAGCCACAACAATCCGCGTCTCTTTTATAAAATGATGATGAATAACGTCTATTAAACGAAAGACTCAAAACTATATCTTATTAAATCAGTTTTAATGCCAATACACTATCTTCATGTCCTTGAGCCATGTCGGTGCTTTAGATATCAATTGTCACGGCAGGCTGCGGTCTAGACGCAGAGGTGGGGCAAAACGCAGTGAATACTAATATGGCGACACAAGGACAAAAACAGTGTCAGGACTTTTTCCTGTGATTTTATTAACATGTGTGAAACGCCGAAATGCACCCGATGCCGCCATCGTTATCTTTCTTGTCGTAAGCAGTGTCAATATTTGCTGGCGTTTAGACATATTCGTTTTTATTTCTTTCAATCAGTACTGAATTAATTCCAGTTCATTACATCCATCTGAAATACAACAAATGTATTAATGGTGTCAAATTAATCTAATTTTAAGTACGTTATCGGCCACTGACGAAACAACTTGTCACATAATAAGTGACAACAAGAGCAGGCACTTTCCATCGGATGGATTGTTGAATTAATCGTCCCACAGACTTTTTATCTAAATATTTTCTTACCGTCTAATTTAAGAAAATATTTAGATAAAACTGTCTGTGGAATGATAAATTCAACAATCCATGTACATTTATAACTACCAGACTAATGGATTTTTACGAATTTTCCATTGAAGTCAAATTAAAATGGTGGACACTCCAAGTAACCATGAGTTTGGATTTAAACACTGAAGAATATTCTTAAAACATCTTTATAAGTCCGGTAGATAGTTCTTCCTTATGGACATGTATGGCGATTACACGACTGGACGTCCAGCTTCCTTAAACACTCATCACAGCAGGGACTTTCTTCTCCTCGCGTACGAATACGTATCCCTCCGCCACACGGCGCATCACACTCTCCCCACTTACTCCACTGACACGTGTCTTTCTTCCCTGGAAACAAAACAATGGTTTTATTGTATTCAACTAATTCCTAAGAAATGATCGCATGTTGTTCGCTTTTTTTTTTACATCTAATTTGCTAAGAGAGAAAATAGTTTATGTAAAAAATTTACTGTTTGCAAATTTGATGAATAGGCCTTTTTTTAATAACAATATCTCTCATGAATTTAACGCCGAAAGAATAACGCCGGTTCATGAATAATGTGCGAGAGAAATTTCTTAAATTACATTAAAAAATACGATATCTAGTATTCTTCACGTGAATTTTACTTTAAAAAATAGGACCATTGTTTTGAAACATATCGTGCTTGAAGATGAAATTCATATATATGCAAAAAAAACTAAAGAAAGCGTTAAGTGCCATACTCAGGAAAAGCAGAAAAGACTCAGGAAACCCCATCCAAACCCATCCAAACCCCATCCAAATGAACGCACCTGCACAGACTGTGGCCCCAATGGCCTCCACCAGTTCATGCAGCCGCGGGATGTCAGCCTGGAACACGTGATCAAGGCGACCTTGAGCAATGACCCCTAGTTCGGTCATGTTCACCCCTGGCCCCGCCCCGACTGCAATGGTTTTCACTTGGTCTCGTCTTAGATTACCTGCCGCCTGGCGGAGGGTTAAGATACCTGGTTGATAAAAAAGAAGGCTGGGTTATCACCTTTTAAAGTGTTCTATCCGTTTCTTTCTTTTTTTCAATTATACTAGTTTTAATGTTTTTTATCATTACACATACATATATTACCAGAAAAAAAATACCCGTTTTAAGGGAGTTCATCTAACATGCAAAGCTGGTTTAGATATTACACTAAAATGAAATAAACCTGGCTGCACCGAATACCACTTACTTATCTAGATAAATATATATAAATGATTTAAAAAAATAACCATTTAAAATAAAGAAATAATAAATGACTCTGGGAGATGTGATACCTTCGTTGGCCACGCCGTCAGTGAGAACCAGTGTTACAATATAGGCTCCAATGTCAGCGTAACGTTTACTGGGCGACCGTTGGAGCAGCATCCGGCATTGCTCCATGGCGTCCGGTATGTTAGTGCGGCCCCGGATGTAAGGAATCTGCTGCAATCTGGGAGAGGTCAGAATAGTGGTAGTTTAAGAAATTGCTAAATATCTTTAAAAGAAAAAGTAGAAGGTCGCATAACACACACATGTAATAAAGATATGTATTTTTATAATATCAATCAATAAGTGACTGTTACGGCATTATTATTTTTCAATGATTTCACATATACTTTTACATTTTTACATCGTCATTCAATCAGAACTCACTTTCCCTTGATCTCCTCTTTCGTCCTTGTCTCAGAGAAGTCAAAGTGTACGGAGACGTTGGTAGAGAACACCACCGCAGCATAATGTGCCTTCACTTCGCCCGACATGCCGTCTATAAAGTCGACCAGCTTTTCCAGGAAGTCGAGTTCCTGCTGGAAACCTTGGCTGTCAAGACTGTGCGAGGAATCAACGGCTATACACATATCCAGGAGACAGCCTTGTGGAAATTAACAGAAAGAATCTAGTAACAGAAGCGACTCAGCGCACACGTCTGGGAGCCAGTGAGGTTGTATAGTTATGAGATAAAACAAACTTTCAATTTCAGTCAGGCTCTACAGGGGCGAATCCAGGATTATTTGAAGTGGGGGTCCGATTTTTAGAAATGACAGGCTGCGGATGCGAAGCCGACCCCCCCACCCCCCCACCCCCGGGCGTGGGATTCGGGGCCCGCTGAAGGGTCCCAAAATATGTTGGTATTTTATAAGGCAAACGGTGACATTTGGTACGTGTTAGAACTTTGATTCAGCTAGACAAAATTCTAATTTCAAGAAGGGACCATTGGTGTGATTTTTTTATTTCGGAAATCGAAGGGGGGGGGGGTCTGATAATGATTGCTTGCAGCTTATCAAAGTTATCATAGCGAATGTAGGAACAATAGATTTATTATAAATTTTAATATTAAAATTCCCAAGTTGAACAATACAGATGTTACGTTTTGATAAACTCTGATATAAGTTTTACAATGCCATATTTTTTTTCCGATGGAATTAATACTCACCAAAACCAAGTTCCTGCACACTCGTTGGTCTGTGGGGATTGAGTTGCCCCTGAACCTGGACACCGGTCACGACACATATCGCCACTGCGAGTACCCAGACCATGCTGCTCATAAACAGGAAGACAATTTAAGTCTATGTCAGTCAGTTATCCTTTAATATGTGTGACTACTGTTTATATAACGAGTATAAAAATTGTGTTAACAACGATACAAACCTGGTATAATATCGTAACCGTACGCCTCTCGGCGACTATGATCCAGTCTAAAAAACTTTCCTGCCAAACAGAGGTTTTTCTTACCATATCGTAGTTACTAACCATCATTCTGTTGCGTTCAGTGAATTTCTTGAGCTTATTTCCCTACATACAGACAATGTATAAAGCAGAATAAAATACGTTGGTTTCTGTTTTCATATCTTAGTTCAAACGCTCATTTTACTTAAATAACATTTAATGATTATAATAAAACAAAAAAATCCATAAAAATATGTCCTGTAGATCCCACAAATAAAAATGTAAAAAGGATTATTTTAGAAATGATCTAAAATTTAAAAAAATCGAGGTAATGGTAACAATTAACAAAAGTTAAAGTAAAGAGAAAAAAATGTTCAATTATAATGTGTTGTAAAGTACAAAATGTTTAATCATAAATTCTTTTTAAAAGATTTGTCTTAAATGCTTTTTTAAAATAAATTTCAATTCCCACAACTTCTCCAGCCTCATCTGGGTATACAAAACAGAAGCATTAAAAAAAAACAACAAGTAGTAAATGAGCAGGCATGGTTTTTGACGCACTTTACGTTATATAAAACTGTATCTAAACGTTCCTGCTTCATTAAAACACCTCATAAAATATGCAAAAATGTTTGTCTTTCACACTCAATGTATGCAGGATTTGTGCATCAAATAAATGCCAGTTTCATGAATGTTTGAGATCTAAATATTTCTTATAATTGAACCTTTAACTTTTTAATTTCACTCATTATTTAAAGAGGATCGGAATAAAGACATCACTACATGGAACAAAGACTCATAATATAGAACAGAATGAAAAGGGCGACACTAAATTGGCTTCTAGATGCAGGGGTTGAATACATGAATGAGATGAAGAGCAGTTGAAAAAGAATCGGCGCTGTTGAAATTTGGTGACATGTAACGATTCTCAGCAGTATCCCGCCCCTATAAATGTGAGTGTTTGCACCCACTACCGCTTCATGCTGAGATTTTTATTGATATACGGTAACGACAAAATTTTTATAAGGCAATTTTTAAAAAGAGCATTAAGTAGACAAGAAAAAGAAAATATATATCTTACCTTACAGTCACTCGCGCTGGTTGCACATAGGAAATAACATAGAGGTAATGTCCTTTAAGTAGTATATTAACTCTGTTTACTGACTCCTAATTGCTTTGACGCATTATTAAGAATTAAAAGTGTTTTTAAAGTAACGACACATTCTGGTTACATAAGAGTAAATACACTCACCTGCCTATAGACAGACTATTACAAAGTAAAACATTTAGCGTAAAACTAGTTGACTGGAAGTAAATGCTTATCAATAAATTATTACAAAAATATGAACTTCTAATCACATCCCGGCATCATGTACATTACTAGTACCTGGCAATACTGGCCAGTGGCATTATTTTGTCCACCACAGGGTCCTCAATGTATGTGAAGGGGCCCTGGTCCAGCATTCTTACACTGTCGTCAACACTGTGTTCTTCCAACAGGACATACATTCACAAGAGCCACAATTTCAGTATATCCGTTGACTTCTGGTTGTTTTTCTACTGTCCTTCAAAAATTGACGGCCATATTGAAAAATGCTTTGTGTCTTGGAAATAGCAACCAAGCTAATTTTACTTTTCTAGTCTTAAAGGGTGCATTTCTGTAATGTTTACTTCAAAAAAGACTGCAGGGTTCGACTATTGGGCCTATGGAAGTGAGTGTACATTCATCATTTTGTTGTGTTGTTTTGTGTTGTATCACTTAGTGACCTCATCACGACGTCATCATTACCCTCATACATGTGCACAGTGACTGTACATATTTCAGTTTTGTCCGTTATATCAAATATAACGCTGGTAGTGATCTGTTCTTGTGAAATTTGGATGTACATAAAAACGCTGAGTCAGCATATTTAACTATGCCGCTCTTCCGGGTACTCATAAATTTCGGAGTTGCCCTCCATCTAAAATTAATTAACCCCAATGGCTTTTCATCGTGGAAAGTTTCATGCTTTTGTCTGTACAATTGTTACACTAAATCATCTGACTAATATATACAGTATATATTTTTGCCTTGCACCTATAGTGCCTATTTTGACAACCCCCTTGGGCAGCCTACCGTAGAATAACACTGGGGCCAAATGAATGCAGATTAGAACTTTATTTACATATACCTTATATAACTCTGTTTTGAGTGCGAAGATCTGATTTACATGCATATGTAACAGACCAGATCCCAATCTAGTGCACTTCCTAAGTGACCCAGGCCACGTCCCAATTGGGTCTTTGCATTGGCAAGAGCATAATGACTATGTTAATTGGTCAAGTAATTTGCAGCTGAGCACCCAGTTTGTTTGTATGGCATGTGTAATTAAATAGGGGATGTCATAGATCAAGGCACATATTATGATACTTTTAGGTGTGGCATATGAAATATACATGTACACGGTAGTTGTATTCACATAATTTTAAAGATCATTCCATAAATATTTAGAGGGAAAGCATTTTAATTTTTATATTCTATATAATATAATAGAGATATATCAAAATAGGTTGATTAAAATATCTAGTAAAGGAATGTTTAATCAAATGTGTAGCAGGAAAAGCTAGCAATGTTTCATTTGTATAAATTTTATGAAAACCTGCCCAAGAGTAAATTTTAATTGCAAAAATTGGATTTTATCCAAGTGAAAAAACATTGAGCTCAGTGTTTGCTTTCACTTTGTGTACATCTTAACCTATGACAGCATGGAACATTGATAAAATAGCTCTTTTAAAATATAATACATTTTGGGAAACTATAGGATGAGGAATATATTGGTATCGTGCTTATGTAACATTATTTTAGGTTTATTTTATGTTCAAAATAATACCAATTACAATTGTTCAAACTTCACGATTGATGTTGGTTTTCAGGCAACTTTTTGTCAGGTACAGTGACTGTGACAGGTTGATCATACATTTCAGGTCGATTTTTCACCTAAACCTTGTGATCTTCATTAATCAAGTAAATTTTAATCAATCAGCTCTGAAAAACTCAGACACTAAGTGGAAGAAAACGCTGAGCTCAATATTTGCCTGTGACATATACATGTCATTTTTGTCATGGACGCTGATTTGGAACTGAATTCTTGATTTATGGTAAGAATCAAAAATCACAGGTCACTATATCGCAAATATAAATAAAAACAAAGAACGAAGAGTGTATTACAGCATGTATAAAATGTGGTTAAAGATTTTAACCACATTTTAGGGCCATTCAGAAAAGGTGATCGGAGTACTAACTGATCCGCGAACTAAATATGTCCGACCTCACTTCAGAAGCGATGAAGCTAACTACGTGGTGGTCTCCCCGCCTCTGCACGCGCCATTAAACCGATTTGATCTAGGCTCCGAGGTTTAATTGCTATGCCCCTGCACCGACAACGCATTTGGGGAGACAATCAAGGAATGCGCGGCATCGCTTTTGAAGAGAGGTCGGCCATACTTAGCCTTGGGTCAGTTAGTACTCGGATCATATATTATGAATGGACCCTAAGAGTACATTCAGAACAGCGGACTAATAGTTCCCCGTATCAAACATGTTCGACCCACTTGAATGCTTGTTGTGAAATACCACCGTGTGCCAGTGTGCCTTGAAAATCCGACTCCCTTAAAAGGTGACCCCCCAGTCAGATTTTCATTATTCGAATTTGAAATTTGATTTTCATTATGAAAATTTATTCGACACAAGAGACGCTTTTTTTTTAATGTCATAAAACTGCTTTCGTCCCAAACTGGTGTATTATGATATCAGGTTTAATATACAACGACCCTACGACAAACAGACGCAAAATATGAAAGAAATGATTAAATGACATTTGGCCAAGGATAGTTAAACTTGCACACATTAAGGGAATGAACCGTGCAGTTTTATGCCCCTTTAAATGCTTGCGTATGCAAATTATTCCACTGATATCAACATTTTCAAAACAACCACTAGATTCACCGTAAAACCTTTATTCACCTCTATGTAGAAGAACACGTCTCTCTTACCACAACAAATCGCGCCTCTTTTATAAAATGGATATTTTTTTTAATGAATACCATCTATAAATTGAAAGACTCAAAACTTTACATTTTAAAGCAGATTTAATGCCAACATTGCTAACATTTCATGCCCATAAGCCATGTAGGCACTTAAGATATCAACTCTCACTGCTGGCTGTAAATACTAATATGGCGGCACAAGGACAAAGACAGTGTCAGGGCTTTTTTATTGTGATTTGTCTATCTTGTCGTAACCAGTGCCCGGATCTGCCGGCGTGTACTGTATGTAGGCGTGACGAGAGACATATTCATTTTATTTCTTTTGGTCAGTACTGAATTTTCTCCATTTGAATGACAACAAATGCACAAATGGTGTCACATTAATTTTAATGGCAAGTTATCGGTCACTGAAGACACATTTTGTAAAATATTACCAAGAACAAACAATTTCCATTGAAGTCAAATTAAACGTAGGATATCCCAAGTAATGTGTGTGTGTATATAATATTTAAACACTGGCAAACTGGTCATTTAATATTCTTCAAACATCTTGAAAAGCCCAGTAAAGAGTTCTTCCTTATGGACATGCATGGCGATTACACGATTGGACGTCCAGCTTCCTTAAACACTCATCACAGCAGGGACTTTCTTCTCCTCGCGTACGAATACGTATCCCTCCGCCACACGGCGCATCACACTCTCCCCACTTACTCCACTGACACGTGTCTTTCTTCCCTGGAAACAAAACAATGATTTCATTGAATTCATCTTCTTCCTACGAAAAAACAATTACATGTTTTTCGCTTTTTACGCCTGATTTGCTAAGAGAGGAAACGGTTTACGTGAAAATTGTATTCGTAAATCTAGTGAACAGGCCTGCTTTGTGTATACAAAAATGTCTTATAAATAATCTAATCAAAAGAAAAACGACTGATCATGACTAATGGAAGTGAGAAAATTAGATTTTTTTGTGATTTTAGAAAAAATTCCTTTATATTCTTCAAGTGTTATTTACAAAAAAGTACCATTGTTTTGAAACATATCGTACTTGATGATTATACTCATATACACGCAGGAAAAATGCTGAACACCTCAGGTCCCATACTCAGAAAAAAACAGGCGAGACAAAGAACCCCCTCCCCCTCCCTCCCACCCCCAACCCAACCCCAACAACGCACCTGCACAGACTGTGGCCCCAATGGCCTCCACCAGTTCATGCAGCCGAGGGACGTCAGCCTGGAACACGTGATCAAGGCGACCTTGAGCGATAACCCCTAGCTCGGTCATGTTGACCCCGGGCCCCGCCCCGACTGCAATGGTTTTCACTTGGTCTCGTCTTAGATTAGCTGCCGCCTGGCGGAGAGTTAAGATGCCTGGATGTTAAAAAAGAAAGATCGGTTGTCAATTTTTGAAATATTCTATACGCTTTTTTTTTTTTCATTTATGCATTGTGTTAAAATTTTATTAATGATTTCACATACATAAATTAAACAAAAACATATCTGGTTTAAGCTAGTTTATCTTACATGCACTGCAGGCTTGGATACTTTTCTATCAAGAAATCAAATTGACATGTAGGCGGCACCGAATAACACTTACATATTATTTAACGGTAACAGCACGCTTTACACTTTCGATATCCTCCAACGTAAAAAATACTAACTATACAATAATGATAAAAATAACTTTATCCAGATAAATAAATAAATAGATTCATCAATAATTAATTAAAATAACTCCAGGGGATGTGGTATACCTTCGTTGGCCACGCCGTCAGTGAGGACCAGTGTTACAATATAGGCTCCAATGTCAGCGTAACGTTTACTGGGCGAAAACTGGAGCAGCATCCGGCATTGCTCCATGGCATCCGGTATGTTAGTGCGTCCCCGGATGTAAGGTATCTGCTGCAATCTGGGATATAGAAATCGATGACTATTAGAATCGTGATCGTTTAAAATTTGTTTCAGATCTTTTAAAGATAGAGGAGTGAGTAATATAACGGCAAAAATGTATATGCCTATTAAATTGTATTTTTACAGAATATCATAAGCTAAGGTTATTCACGTACCTGTACAACATTCAACATTCAAGGTCGGATGAATTATCAAATGATTTCAAATATGTTCTAATTAACAAAAAACTCACTTTTCTTTGACCTCCTCTTTCGTCCTTGTCTCTGAAAAGTCAAAGTGTACGGATACATTGGTAGAGAACACCACTGCAGCATAATGTGCCTTCACTTCGTCCGCCATGCCGTCTATGAAGTCGACCAGCTTTTCCAGGAAGTCGAGTTCCTGCTGGAAACCTTGGCTGTCCAGGCTGTGCGAGGAATCAACGGCTATGCACATGTCTAAGAGACAGCCTTGGTGAAACAGAAAGAAATCTAGTAACAGAAGTGCACACGTCTGAGGTTGTGTTGGTGTAAGATAAACGAACGAGTTACACTTTCAGTCAGGCTTTGCAGGGGCGGATCCAGGATTATTTGAAGTGGGTAGGGATTTAGAAATGACAGGCCGCGGATGCAAAGCAGACCACCTCCTGCCACCCGAGCGTGGGATTCGGGGCCCGCTGAAGGCCACAAAATATGTTAGTATTTTAGAGGGCGAACGGTGACATTTGGTGACGTTTATAACAATGATTCAGCTAGACAAAAATTTAATTTCAATAGGGGACCACTAGTGTGATTTTTTCTTTTCAGAAATCGAAGGGGAGGGGGGGGGGGTTCAGGACCCTCCTGACCACTCTCCCTAAATCCGGAACTGCTGTGACGGTGTAACTTAGTATCGTCTTACTGACTTTGTGATAATGACTACATGCAACTTATCACAGTTATAATAGCGAATGTGGAAACAATATATTATTTATAGATTTTAAAATTTGAAATATCCAAGTTGAACAGAACAGATGTTGCGTTTTGTTGGTATAAATCATAAAATGCAACAATTTTTTCCTAGGCAAATTAATACTCACCAAAGCCGAGCTCCTGCACACTCATTGGTCTTGGGTTACCTAATTGCCCCTGAACACCGGCCACGAGACATAGCGCCACTGCGAGTACCCAGCACATGCTGCTCCTAAACAGGAAGACACTTTAAGTCTATGTGAGTCAGTTACATATTAATATTTGTGACTACTGCTTTTACTTAACAGTATAAAACACCCCCGATATAACATCGTAAACCTCATGCATGTCGGCGTCTAAATAACTTTCTTGCCAACCAAAAGCTCTAATTACCATATCGAAGTTACTGCTTAACCAGCATTCTGCTGCGCTCAGTTTATTTCTTAATTTCATTTTAGTTTTATATATATAGGTTATGTGTAGAGCAGAATGAGATTCTTTGGTATGTGTTTTCATATTTATTCAAACAGATCAAATAGATCAAAAATTAAAAATATATTAAAATGGTATGGTAATAAAAGTAAAGAGAAAAATGTCCAATAACAATGTGTTGTAAAGTATAAATATTCAGTCATAAAACGTTTTAAAAAAATAAGTCTTTAGTGCTTTTTTTTATATGTTTTAATTCCCACGATTTCTTAAACCTTATCTGGGTATACAAAATAGTAGCATTTAAAAAGAAAAAGATTATTTACTGTAAATGAGCAGGCATATTTTTGCATAATAAATAATAAAAAATATACTTTCAATTTTGATGTACTTTAAGTTGCACTTAAAAAAACTGTATCAAAAGGTTCTTGCTTTATGAAAATTCCATATGGAATAAGAGAAAATGCTTTAGCTTCAGTCGTTCACACTTAATGTAAGCAGATGATGTGTGCATCAATTAAATACGAATTTCGTAAATGGTTATGAGATCTAAATATTACATATATTTGAACCCTTTAGCTTTTAACTTCACTTGTTATTAAAAGAGGATCGAATTTAAGACATCGAAATGAGGCTTATAATATGGAACGAAATGTAAAAGACGACAATGAATTGGCGTGTAGACGAAGGGGTTGAATACATGAATAGGATGAAAAGCAGTTGGACTTTAAATAAATAGGATCGACGACGCTGTCGAAATTTGGTGACATTTAGTAATTCTCAACAGTGCCCTGTCCGTAATAATGTAAATAATTTGGACTGACTATCGCTTCATACTGAGATTTTTATTGATATACTGTAACAAGAAATTATTTTATAAGGACCTTTTTTCAAAAAAGCGTTAAGCAGACAAGAAAAAGAAAAAATCTCTCTCACCTTACAGTCACTTGCGCTGGTTGCACATAGGAAATAACATATAGGCAATGTCCTTTAAGTAGCCTATAGAATTTGTTTACTGACTCCTAATTGCCTTGACGCATTCTTAAGCGTTTTTATATTGCCAGCACATTGTGGATATGTTAGAAGAAAATTCACACACCTGCCTAGTATGACTTACACAGTAAAACGTTTAGCGTAAAAATTTTTTGTCAATTTAGGGCAGTTTGCGTCAGGTAGATATTATTATTTCTTTGTGATGCAAGCATGATGACAACGTGGGAAGGGTTGGAAACCTCTTTTGCACCATTAAGTGGTCGAGTTTGGCGAGTAAACTTGGTACAGAGAGGGGCAAAGCTATAGGTTAAACCAATTGTGTGTCTGGTATTCTAAAAAATGGACGGATATGGCTACTGTTTATGCCGACTGCGGTTTTTATTCTTAAAAGAAAACGTATCACTTTCGCACTGAAAAATGTCTTTAAGCTGAATTTTTTAAAACGATAACTTGTTTCTAAAGAGATATATTTTGACTTCCATATTGGGGGCAGGAGTTTAAATTCTTGAATTAAATTAATGGGTGAGCTATACGGAAAAGAATGCACAACGAGTAAATTCCTTACGTGATTTTCTTATATATCTTGCGAGCCCCTTGCCGTTGACGCACTCATTGGATTTCCCAGCAGGCGTGCCAGGTCCGAATGACGTCAAAATGGCGTTGACAAAATGGCGTCGACCAGATGCGGCGTGGACGCTGGTACTGAAGGGACAAAACTTTTAAAAAGCGTTTATATACGAAACAGAGAAGTCAAAGCTTAACCCCATCAAACTGCATTAACAGCTTAATGAGTTATTCAAAATTTGGGGGGGGGGGGCTAGGCTTAATTCATTACCTTTTTTACTAGAACTTGACATATGTAAGACGCAAGCGGTTCAGTGGGTTAGGCAGACCTATATGGCCTCACTCCGCAAAAGAGAGATGCTTTTTACCTCATTACAAGGGTGATGTATGTAAACACGTTTCATAGGGTATTCTTAAATTGAAAATGATGTTCTTAAGTTTTGTTACACCTAGGCTTAATGGGGTGTCAGTACTACGTGAATGACAATATAAACAGACATTTGCGGTAGACAGACGCGTTTGTAATGTCAATGAACTCATACAACCTTACCCTCAAACAAGATATTTGGTATTCTAGAACGTCTCTCTCTCTCTCTCTCTCTCTCTCTCTCTCGCATACATACACGCACACACACACACACACACACACACAAGCACACACACACACACGCACACACACCACAACATATAATTTGTTTCCGGTCATGTGAATCGTCCTTTGAATGCAGACAGTGTTTTATTCTCTTTTTCAAAATTAATGTTCATCATTTTCACTGGGTATGAATGCTTAAAATGTGCAGAAAGATCACAAGAAATGGACGGCTGGCTATTTCGATCTGAAAATTTTCACAACACCGACCCGACACGACCAAAAATGAATCGGTACGACCAGAACAGACATGACCCTACCCGACACAAACAGACCCAACCCGACAGCTAATGGAAATCTAGGTCTTCTGTTTTAATTTGATGCGATGCATGGAGTTGACTTTTTAAAAGGCGTTATTCAAGTTTTTTAATTATTTGTGAAAAATTTGGATATTTCAGTCAAAATATGTAAGGCGATGAGTGGGTGGCTTTATTAATTGAAAGCAGTGTGAAGATACATCGGTGGAAAAGTAGGTTACTCTCAGCGGTAATGTAGGGGGCAGGGGCAGGGGGGGGGGAGAGAGGAAGAGAAGTGACTGCCAAAGAACAAACAATGCTCACCATGTGCTACAAATTATTTGGCACAATTTTGGAAAGGAGCATATTTTTCAGAATCGGATATAAAATTTCAATTTAAATTTATTGTGAGTTATAGAATAAAGGTGTGGACTGCAGCCAGTAGACGAGAGAGAAAGAGAGAGATTGGAAAATATTTAGCTCTGTCCCCTATGAAAGGTCAGAAATATCTGCCACTAGATTCCCAACCTTTACCAATGGTCTACAAATAAATAGTCAAGGATGCAAAGCCTAACGTGATTTCAATCTGACGTTGAATACTGATCTAGATTACTGACTTGGAATAAAAACATGTTCTTTTTGAAAAGCAGGATGATTGGGTCATTAATTAATTAATTAATTAATTCATTCATTTATTTATTTATTCATATTTTCGAAAGTTATTGCATTCTTTGTGTGTTTTGGCGACATTTGGCTTAAAAGTGCGCATGCCAAAACGTATTCTTTGTTCACTTGACATTAGCTGAGTGGCTCTGTTTGATAATATGCAATCTCCTCTCGAAAATCAACATGGCTGGATAATTTATACAAAAAATACTGTTTACTGGAATGTGCGTTTTATGTTAAAAGAAGCAATGTTTTCTTTTTTTTTTCTTGTTCCGTGTCTGTATATTTGCAAGCCTAGCTGCTGTTGTCCTTAATCCCACATGGCGATTTTTCTAAATGCTCAGCGTCCCCTCTCTCACCCCCCCCCCCTCACCCGGCTTAAATCTGTTTCTCCCTTGCCTGATCCAAGGGAACTCACCACGAAAAAAAAACAATAAACACATTTTGTTGGTAGCACTTCGTTGTTTATTTTTGAGACAGTTTTTCACTTCTCAGACCTACATAAAAGTGAAGTTGGTACGCGATCATTACAATATGGTACCATAATGTTATCAATATGATATAAATATTCACTATACTACGTGGGAACATTAATATTTATCTAATTATGCAAATTTAAACCGCTTGGTATCACAATACTAGAGGTATCTCACTTGTATAGAAGAAACGCCATCAATAACTTTATTCCGCTGTTAGAAATTCGTCAACTGACTTCAAAATACAGTTGTCATGTTAAATGCATGTTTTTGATTTATTCTTAAATACCATTATATCTAAGTATGAGGGTTTCGCGCCAAAACGGTTAGGTTGCTCTGAGAGGACTGTTCCGTTGCATCAAGGCAGTTACGATATTCTCAGTTATAACAGTTAGTCAGGGGGCACTGCTTCAATTCAAAATATGTGCTGAGCATCTTAATATTGGCAGGCGCAATCTAATACGTCCATTCTGAAAAAGGAAATGTTTTTAGTGTAATAAACCACAAGATATAACGAACATGGCGAATGAAAAGCAGCTGCTGCTGCTGCTGCATCACTTAATCCAAGTGGCAACAATGACGTGCAAACACCCTATTAACAAACACACACACACACACGCACGCACGCACACACGCACACACACACACACGCACACACACACAAACACACACGCACGCACACACGCACACACACGCACACATATTAAAAGCAGTGATAATCTACCGATACAATACTAATGTTGACATCTGACAGAGACAAACGAGGCTCAGTATGTCGCATCCACCTTCTGCCCATCCCCTAATGTACCCAGCCTTCCCCCACGTGCCTCTCCCACTTTCCCTTCCTCCCCTGTCCCCTTCCAGATGCATTACATCGGTGATTCTTATCCCAATCTCCCACGTGCCGCATCCCACCCTCTTCTTTCTCTCCTCCCGCCCTTCCATGTTCCCCTTTCTTTACTCCCCTTTCCCTCCCTCCCTCCCTTTGGCCCCTTCCCACCCTCCCCTTTCCCTCCTCCCACGCTCCCAAGGGCCCCCTACCGTCTTCTTCCCATTCTAAACTTCCCTGTCCCCCCCCCCCCCCCCCCCCCCCC